ATAGAATTTCTTTCAATTTAAATCACATACACTGCAAAGTAGATGAATCATTGTGAAGAATTGTGTTACTGTTGAGGAAAAAAAAAAAATCTGCAACTGTACTAGTCTTAGGCTTCCATACTTAGAAACGACGAACCTCTACACAATATGCTTTTGAACAGGCTCAAGTGAAGTGAAAGCTCAAAAGTGAAACTGCTGGGGGCATTACACTGAAACAAGATGGTATGCTACAGACAAGTGGGTGAGCGGTGCCAGAGCTAACCTCAGGAGGCCTGTTCCTGCCTTCAAAGGCCCCACAATGGAAATCCAACACACCTTACCTGAATACTAGGTTTGGGTAGCAAATAGAAGTTTGCAACTTTTCTTTGTACCAGCAATCTCATGCACCCTATATGCTGGTGGCTGGCCATGTTAGACTATCTTAAAAGTCTCTATTCACACCCAGTTCCTTGCAGTCTGAAATGAAATTTAACTTTTAATGACTTCTAGTACCAGGAAGTTTAAATCTTTAATCCTGGGACCTGACTGTTTACTTACTATATTGCTAGCTAGTATGTGTCTATTCCTTGAAGGTTGGAAACACCCAAGACACATTCAAATTTCATTTCACCAAGTATCTGAGTTTCCAAGGGGGTAAATCTCACAGAAAACAATCATTACCTCAAGTTAGTTCAAACACTGCTTTTTTACCTGCAGCGTTATTTTCCCCTAGCACAACTCAGTACAATCTTTAAAAATAAACAAAAGCATAATTTCATACCAGGATCTAACCAGGATTCCCTCTCCCTTTGTTGTTATATTTTAAATGAGACAATTCCTTAAAATAGACTGCAGTTATTTTTATGCCCTTAAACTATTTTACAGGTTCTGTTGCGGAAGGACAGCCTGCTCCGCTGAAGTGCAGGCTCCAACTGGAGGAGCCGGGAGACACTGCTGTATCGTAAACCTTCGGGCACGATGTGTCTGGGCTGGAGCCGCCCCAGGCTTCATCAGCCCCAAAGGACCCGTGACCCGAAAAGGTTATCCATTGCTAACGTGAAACTTGTGCCACTCACTGTCCCTCATCAGGGTATTTCTAACTCAGTAGCTAACCAACAGCTTTCCAGGCAACTTGCTGACTTCAAACACAAAGTAGAAAACTAGTAGAAAACTGAAAGGCTGATTTTTTCAGTTGCTTAAGTTGAATAATTAATAACTTTGATCATTATCTTCCTGGAAACATCAAACTGTTTGAGTGGTGAAGGCTGAATCTTGCCAGTTCATGTTACAGATCAGTTCACTAAAATCTCTGGCCAACTCCACGCAAGCTTTGCCCGGCTTTTATCCTCAACAGCCTCTCACCGGCGTTCTGCCACCCTCCGCCCCAGGATTTTACTTTTTATTTGAACCTACCATCCATGCACATTGACAGGCTGTTCCCTAAGGCTTTCTTGATCAAGAGAAAAAAATCAGAAAGGAAGTGGTAGAAAGAAAAAAGAATCACATGATTACATCACTTAAACGACCCTTCCCCCATGTCATAACAGTATGAGTTGAGTTTTTCTAATTAGCATTCCCACCTGCAAGTCACATAAGGCGATGCTAGCATAGAGGCCACTAACTTAGTACATTTAACCAGTAAGACAATCTGTGTACAGGTGAACAAAGTGAAAAGCAGCCATCTGACAGGAAGTGGAGCCTATCTTGCTACTTCTGAAAAGCACTGTTATCCGTAATAACTAAACCTTCAGGGAAGACACTATTTTCATCAAAACAGTACAATATTACATAATTAGCAGATGTATTTAGTATTTCAAGCATTAAAAATAAACCAAAACACATAGCACGTTATTGAAGAAATAAAATTAGGTATCTAAAACTTTAAAGATTTCCTAGTGTCGAAAAAACTAGAAGACTACGTCACTCAAAAACTGTTCATAACAGTATTGGTAAGCAAAATATGCAAAACTGAAGGCTCCTTTCAAAGGAAAGCCTCGAATGAGAACCACTCATGTGCTGAAACACTTGTCTATCTTTTGTGATAACCAAATCCTAACACAATACTGTAAAATGAGCAAAGTTAACTGAAGTATGTATCCTGAAGTTCAAAACACAAAACCAAACATGGCAGTACTCAATTTCATCAGTTCTTTCAGGAATCACAAGCACAATTTCCATTTGAATTTGTCCAGTAAAGATGAGCAAATCTTCTTCAGTTATTAAAACTCAGTCATCATTTGACTAAAACGGAATATTAACACTGGCAATGTTATAAGGAAGCTTTACTGAACTTCAACTTAGCTACACACATACAGACACACAGACATATATTTTTAACACTTTAAACTCCAGTACCACTTATTGAGGGTTGGTGCATTCTAATAAATACATTATTTCACTGACTTGATGCTATCAGCAGAAAAAGGAAAGACTATTCATTATGGATAATCAAGCACACGGAAGGAACTTAAGCCTTGCATCATCAATTCAATTTTATTCTTATGCCAAGCAAAATTCTCTTTTGAATGTGATTTTCAAATTTGGGGAGAGAGAGAAGACAGAAGAAAAGCATTTTCAGGAGAACAGAGAAAGAACAATTGAGCTCTTTTGGCAGTGAAATGCCCTGTTCTGGAAAATTCTCAGTAAACAGTAGGTGGGAAATTTTTTTTCCTAAATCAGTGATCCAGTTACAATAGTAACATTGGTTAAAACTTCGAATTTTTACCAAATGCAAATTCCTTGAAGGCAAAGCTCTATTCATCTCCTTATAGTCCCAAGGTAGTTAGCCTAGAACAGTGCTTTGCAGATAACACTAAAAACAATCATTAGCTGGATTAATCTATGATCAAGTGAATGGTCACTAAAAGTACTGCTGTAATTCAGAGTATATGAATTACACAATTAATGTATTTCTTACTCTTTGCATTCCTAACATTTCTTAATGTTAATATAAAAACTTCAGTAGCTGTAGCAATTGTGCAGCCCTTGAGAAGTTAATGACTGTTACTAAACAAGCTTGAGACAATTCAAAAGCGGAATAAGGACAGTCCCGCCTTGCTTTGCTCAGGTGAACACTGAGAACTGCGCTGCTGCTGGAAATCAGGAGGGCTTCCCCTTTTAAACTAATAACAGATCAGTGTAATTGTTGGGGTGGCAAGTACCTACTATGCAAAATTAAATTTCCTATTAAGATAAGCAAATTGGGACCACCCTAATAAGCTATTTAAATGACAGTATATTTTGAATATTACCATCATACAAGAACTTTTCCTCCAAAGAAAAGAACATACAACTCATTAAAAAAAAATCAAGGCATTTTCCTGAGACGCTAGTCAGCATAAACAAAGTGGGATCAAGAACTTAAGTGGTAAAAAAAACCGCAATGTACAACAGAGGTGCAAAATGCCTTTTAGAAGTGTGGCTGGTCTGCCATCATGACCACCACCTCCAGGAACCAGGAACACACGTGGGCTGTTGCTAGAATGTAGTTACCTCCTTCCTATATTTTTAAGAAGAAAACATTCTTACCTAATATGGCAGTGCTGACTCATGTGGACAGGAGTCTTCTTGCATCACACTTGAATGTGGTCTGCTCTCATTTCCAAGCTTAATTTTAGTGCTAGCAATTTTAACAGAGGAATACTTCGGTTTCTTTGTTGTTTAAGGACTCTCAAATAAGGAGAAACCTCTAAATATACTACCATGGTCTGAAACACAGCTTTCTGTCACAGTTGTCACTTGTGACCACTTTTCATTTCAAGAGCCCCCAGCCAGCCGGTTTAAGATGGTAAAATTTATGGGACTAAAACTCCGGGTTACTTTAAAAATGAAGGGTCTGGCTTCTCACTGTACTAGTATGTCTGGTAATCATCTACAATAGAAGCACCGGTGTTCAGGAAATGTCCACTTAGATGCTTACCAAGCCAGAATGGAAACATCATACTTTGCATTCTACTACAGTGTTTGGCATTAAGCATTTATTTTATGTATGGAATTAGTTTTGTAATTCCAACTGTTACGAATTTCTAAATATAAATAGTACTTCAGTTTTTCTTCATTCATGCTTGACTAAGACATAAATTAAACACAATTAATTTACATGTAATCACCCCTCAAATAAGAGTGATAATGAAAAGATTTTGCTGGTATGAAACTACTTAAATCAGACATTTCACATTACTTTTCCCACTACTCCCCTAACTTTACATTAGTTTTAAGGCTATATATACAAATATGTATATCTCCAAGTTAGGGAAAAAACAAATGTAACAAAATGGATTATGCTAGCTTTTATACACAAAGATTTTTCGATTTTGTATCCAAAGTTATATTTTACTCTTACATTTTATTAGTTTTCTAGAGGGGAATCTGCCTACTGAATGAGTAAATTACATGGTGGTAAATACAATACTGACCCTAAAGAGACAAAAACACATAAAGACACACAATAGCAGTCTTTTCAATGGGACAGATTTTTAAACTCACTTTCACATATGCTCAACCAGAATGATTAAAACTAAAATTAAATTTGGCTATTTTATATCTACAATTCCTTATTTTGAAAGTTATTTTTAAAGGCCAACAACTAAATTTTATCAACATGCTATATTTCAAATCACAAATATATCGCAACCACTTAGATTCTAACGACATGGGCCAATTAAAAATCACAGACACACACACACGCACACACCTACCACACAGGGTTACCATGTTGAACCTTGACAATTGTTTTAATTAGACAGTAGGCAAATTTAAGCTGATGTACATCTTAATGAAAAATAAGCGGACCAAAAGAAACCTAGTTAAAAAACAGATTAAGGAACAATAGCAACTTAAATCTTCTAGTCTTTCTAATTAGAAGAAAAACAGTTCCATCTATGCCTTGAATAACAGCACTGTCCAACTGGGAGAGACTAATTTCTGTTCCTACAGGAAAACCTCATTTACAATGGCACTGGGTATTTTAATAGGCAGAGGTAAAAGAGGAATTACACATACATGATTAAACTTCTTGTTTGTTAAATCAAGCTTTATTGATAAAATGGAATTCAGAGTATCTTACTAGGACAGCAGCAGGCCCAGCCAATCATGATAGCAAAAAACATGGCAGTCTCCTACAGTATGTAGGAAGCTGCTGCTCATCAATTAGTAATTAAATGTAAGGGCTTGGAAAAGAGGTGCAAAGAATCAAGGCATCTCAGCCTCCAGATTGATGTCCTTAGGAATATACTGTATGCCTGTAGTACTCACGGCAGCAAGGAGAGCACATTCAGACAGACAGCTAAAACAGGGCAACGGCTTCACCAGGAGCGCCAGTCCTGCTGCCAGGAACATGAAGGTGGTTTTCAGTAACTCCGTGGATGTTTAGCTTTGTCATTATTCTCCATAATCATGTGCACATTTGAGCACCTAGGCTGATGTGGCTGCTGCTCTCCCTGTCCCAACCCCAAGTCCAAACGTAACATGACCTGAAAGGGTTATATATCTGTTGCTTCACACAACAAGCCAAACGTTTCTTATAACTTTGATAGTGATTTAAAGCAGTTCATAATTAAATATGAGTATTTTGTACATAGACAATTATACTTTACAAAAAAAAAACCACCAAAATCATACAACAAAAATTGCTGGAGTCTGATTTACAACATGAATTATGGTTTGAAATCACTTTTACATAAGTTTCAAATTCACAAAAAAAAAAAAAATCAGTTCTGGGCTAGCTGTTGTACTGCTGAAGTTCTCTGATGTAATCTCTCTCACCACGTCATATCCCTTCCTTAATGCTGAGGATGGATGTTAAAAGGTTCAAGCCGTACTCTCCTTTGGAGGTGCAGGTAAACTCCATGGCTAGATGAGCAGTTTTACCACATATCATCAGTTGATGTAGAGTCCTTGATAAGGAAAACAAACAAACAAGAAACTAAATTAAAGCTTAGAGGTGCTTTATACTACTTTCTGGATATGCAGAATTAAAGGTTTTATAAAGTCGGCATTTAAAGTGCAAATTTTTTGCAGTATGCAAATATGCATGTATGTGTTATCAATAACTGACAAGAATTGTTAACCCTTTGTTTTGCTTTTTGGAAAATAACTAGAATGAGTTTACAGTGAGATTGACCAAATAAATCATTAAGTCAGCAGTGCTATGAAAGAATACACAAAGAATACTACTTCCGATAAATCCAGTCTTTTAGAATACAACTCTTGTAAACTTTCAATGTATTTGCAGAGATTAGCCTTAAGTAAGACAAGTTTTGGTAGTTTCAAATGCAACACATAAAGTATTTGAGAACTGTGCCCAAATGATTTGAAATGACCACTTCTTTATAAACATCACCCAACAACAAATGATCAGCAATAAAAAACTTACTTGGAGAACAGAGCATTCTAGTATAATATAAAGTGTTCCTCATTCTAACATTTAAAAGAAATATACATATAACTCAGGATTTTTGACAAAAATATTTCCAACCATAGAAAACACTCAGTGGAGATGGACATTTGGTAGCTCTGTTGTAGTGGCTTGCAAAACCTAGAACAGATCCAGCTTCTCATAGAGACAGTATTCCCACGACAACAAAAAAGTTCATTGAGTGGAGGCAAACCTTCTGAAGTGGAATGCTTGAGGAGGCTTTAAAAAAAACCAGAATAACTCAAAGGGACTTTCTTCTGCTTTGAGAGAGGTGGCCACTCACCGTGATTCTGTCCTCAATCACTACAACTGTGGTGCAGGCAGAGATGAGAGCAGTCAGGGTGTGTGTGAGAGAGTGGGTGGAGTGGACAGCTCTGCAAAAACAGGTAGGAAGGATATGCATTTAGAGTGAAGGGGAAGGGGAGCCGAGGAAACTAAAAGGTTACTTACAGTGTCATCATTTTTGTAAGGATTCAGTCTATTGTAAACGGCTTCAATTACATTCCGCCTAAATTTTAAAAAAAATGTGGAAAATTAATTCTTTGGAAAGTATGATCACATTTTCTTACAGTTAGGTGTTCAGTAGATTTTCGAAAGCAATTTTAGAAATTATTTTAGTTCCATTTCTCGCTTTCAGTAAAGTGAGCCTCACTTCAGGACATGTGGGTGCCACTGTGGAGGTAGAGGTCACACTGCAATCTAACATTCCATCAACGCAGTTAACGTAACACCAAAAAAACAGGTTTTATAAAGAAACCAGTCAATGTGGTCTACTCAGATCAGAACTGGGCTTAAGGGGTTGAGTCAGCACTGGCAGTCTTTTTTTTTTTTTTCTTGGAAAGGCATATATACAGAGAAGACAGAGAGGAAGATCTTCCATCCGATGGTTCACTCCCCAAGGGGTCGCAATGGCTGAAGCTGAACCAATCCGAAGCCAGGAGCCAGGAGTTTCCTCTGGGTCTTCCACAAGGGTGCAGGGTTCCAAGGCTTTGGGCCGTCCTCAACTGCTTTTCCAGGCCACAGGCAGGGAGCTGGAGGGGAAGCGGGGCTACTGGGATTAGAACCGGCGCCCATATGGGATCCCAGGCATTCAAGGCAAGGTCTTTGGCTACTAGGCTACTGAGCTGGTCCTAGGCAGCCAGACTAACAAGGATACCTTCTTAAAAAGTATTACTAAACACATACTGTTAGTTAGAAGGCATCTTAGTCTTGAAAAAGAAATAACTTTAACATCTAATGTAGTAAAACAAAACAACATATTTTTAAGTTTTTATCTTTCAAAATGCCCCTTTAACAGAGCAGTTTTAAAACAAAAATATCAAGGCCAGCGTTTTGACTCAACTGGCTAATTTTCCTGCTTCAAGTGCCTGCATTCCAATGGGTGGGTGCTGGCTCCTGTCACAGCTGCGCCACTTCCCATCCAGCTCCCTGCTTGTGGCCTGGAAAGGAAGCAGAGGATGGCCCAAAGCCTTGGATCCCTGCACCCACATGGGAGACCTGGAACGTGCTCCTGGCTTTGCATCAGCTCAGCTCTGCCTGTTGCAGCCACTTGGAGAGTAAACCAGTGGATGGAAGATATTTCTGTTATTCCTTTTTGTAAATCTGCCTTTCAAAAAGGAATATCAAATTTCCAAGATAAATCCCTGTTTTTGAATATTATTTTATTTAAAAACTTGTGCTCTCATTTTAATATTTCCACAACCGCTTTGAAGCAATTTATTAGCCAGCTTTACCCAGAACATTGTATGATTACGACCTGTTCACAAGACAGCAGAGAATGAAGGAAATTAGTAACACACCTTGTAAGTCAACTACAAGTATACCTGAAGTGAAAACGTTAAAGTAGCTTGAATTTTTCCGGTGTACTACGTGTAAGAATGTCATTTTAATACTTTACACAAATTGGTTGTTCCATGAACTAACGTAGAATGGAAAAGGGCTAGAAATGTATTCATTCTTTCCTTCACTCAACGACAATAGCAACCAGTAACCAGACACTAGCAACATCAGACACAGAAATGCGCTCAGACGCATCAAGACCAACTCTGCCGTGTCATTTCGTCCAGATTGACAAAATCACCCAACTAAATACTAACACTCACTGAGAATTTGGTAGCGCTGCACATTTAAAAAATTCTTTCACTTGATTATCTCATTCATGCTGCATGAGGAAATCAAAGTCACCCAAGCTTCTCCAAAACAGCCCTCAGTGCAGCTCCCTGGAGAGAGGTATTGTGCTATCTACATAAGGATCATATCCCAATACCAAAAAACACGAAGTCACAGCTTAGACACTGTGCTACGGACAACTGCATTGCTTTAGGAATCAGGGAAAAGCACATTTGATCAACGGACACCCAACACCTGCACACACTGACAGCAAGCGGGGAGCGGGCGCAGAGGTCACTTACTTGCTAGCCAGGTCGCCCCCGGGAGGGAGGCTGGGGATGCTCTCGCTGGCTAACGTGCGCATCACGTGGACTAAGTCAGGCACGCCTTCCCCCTGCTTCTTTATGATTTCTGGGGATCAGAAGTACTGTTTTTGTAAGTGTTATCCAAATTTAATTTTTAAAAACTGAAACAAAGATAACTTAGGTTTTTAAAGATGACAGTTACCATATCTGAGAATTTCTAAACTGGCATCGTTTAAAAGAAAACAAAACAAGTTGAGCTTTGAAAATTTATGACAAAGAGCAGCAGAAAAAGACACAAAAGATAAATTTCAGAGAATGAAAATAAGATTAAAATGTTAAAAGAAAAATCTATCATGTTGAAATTGATGCATTACATAATCAGGACACATATGCAAACACAAGAACATTCTTTCTTAGGATGTCAACTAGTTACTGTTGAGGAGATATATTCATTCTCCAGACTGGAAACAAGTTCTCTGAAATTTTCCCTGTAAAATACATCGCACAGATTAACCAGAAAAAAAAAAATACAGAGAAAGGGGCAAAAAAAAAAAAAAAAAAAAAAAAAGGAAATAACTCCCAGATTTGGAAAAAATACCTTCAAAATAAGGAAATTTGCTGATTATATACTAACACAAATTGTTTCACATTTATATTTGCAAAATGATACTTAAATAACATGCACAAATTAGTTTATACATCAGAACACCACTCAAAGCTTAATTTTTCTCTAAAGGATCTTTAGACAATATGTAGAGAAATAATAACAATTCCTTTGATTACTTGAGACAAGCCTTAAAATAAAAAGTCTGTATATTTAACAGAATTTTTAAAAAGAGGAAGATCTGATACTTATACAACTGCATCTAGAATTAACATTGAAAAAAAAAGCTATCAAGTGGGTGTAGCAATACTCTGTAGTGTTGCCACGATTTTTTATTCCTATCACAGAATATCAAATACTATTAACAAAGAACTTTACAAAGAACTCTAAAGCTATTCACTTCCAAGTACAAAAATTCTTCACATGGTTTTAGCAAATTCAAGTCAAAGTTATTTGTTATGTTACATGTTCAAGTTTTGTTTCATTAAGAAATGGCATTTTGTCATTGTTGGGGCAAGAAATTATCATTCTAGTTCTTAATTTGTAAACACCTTTGAAAATAACAATGCATGAAGGTCCTTCATCCTTGGATCAACCCTCAAAATGTTAACTCATCATATGAAAAAACACATTATTAAGAGACAGACACTGCTACCCATAATATTAATATCAATAAAGGCTTAAATTCTCTTTAAGAACAAAGGCCAATTTCACCATGTACTAGCAGTTCTTGCCTTTTTTTTTTTAACAGTCTTAAATCTGAACAAAAAGCAAGGATCTCAGATTTGGTTTGCCAAGTTCTTTTATTGTGTAGCATATTTATTCTACATGGTTCTAGTGCTGGGAATCTCTGTACAAAAATAAAGGGATTTGATGTTTACCTAAACTGCACAATTTCACAATTTAAAACTGCAATACACTTAACATACAGTCTCTTGCTAAGCCAACACAGTTACCTGGATAGGAAACTACACACAATAGACATGAACACTGGTGGTAATTTTAATCGATGATGGTTTCAAATCTAGAAAAACATTACCTTGAATCATCTAGATTTGATGTATCTTACATCTTCTTTGTTAAAATATAAATTAGGATATATTTTAACTGTGATAAAATTACAAGAAAACAATTAAAAAAAATAATGTAAAGCTTTAAAAACAAAATTCCCTACTTCATACGGGCTAATCCACTTAAACCACCTGAACATTAATACTATGCTGGTCTTGCTTTCTTATGCTTTAAAAAGAAATCACTTCGAAGAAATATTCCTTTAATTGCGCTTGGATTATACATTTTAATTAAAACTGTAAAAAGACTGAAAGCTTTTATAAAGAATAGATATGTATAGAATATTCATGTTTCACATACATTTGTACCAACACACTCTGCCTTGCCCTCCCCCTCCGGCCCGTGGGTGGGCATCTCATGTCAGAATCGGCAACTCCAACGTTCAGAGACTCAGCAGCAGAGGTTTAAGAAAATCTGCACAAGAATAATCTTCAACTAGTTTAGAGGGACCACAAACCTAATAGCTGTATGGTTTAAATTACGGGGTGAATCTTTCACACCCACAGACAGCCAAGTATTTGAAAGGGCACAAATGGAGAAAGAGCTGCAAAGCCTTTTGTCCTTTCATATGGTATGGACAGAGAAGCCAAAAACGCTCAAAGCAAATGCAATGAGGTTAACGGGTCCCAACATTCAATGAAGGCATGTATTTACACAAAGAAGGAAAAAAAAAGATTCTGGTGCCTGTCTTGGAAGCTGAATACAGTATTTTTTTTTAACCTATGACATACAGCAACTTCTATAATGCAAACAGTTACATTCTTCCTACATTTTTAAATGTGATTTTAATTAATGTGATATTATTCTCTAGTGCAGTCTCATCAAACCTAAGTAAGAAATACCTTATTTTACGTATGATACAATAATCTCTAACTGAATAATACAAGTATAATAAAACTTCAACATACCAAAAATATTGAGTATTAACTCCAGGTGGCAACTCACAGGTATTCCAAGTTCAAGTGTCACCACATTACCACCTTCGTCTCTATACATTCCTTTTAGGGTTTCAAACTACTTTCTGTAGCAATCTAGAGTTTAAAACTTTACTGCAAATATTTTTTTACTGAAATGATCAGATTATAAAAATTCCAAGACCCTTGATAATATTGAAAAACAAACTCACTGAACAGTACATCCAAAGAATGAAGTACTAAATATTACAGACACATACTAGACATATCACTATCAAGTGGGGCGGGGCAATAAAAATAAAATAGCAGCTTCAGACAGTACTGAAAATAAAAACCAATCAGACTGATTATGACTAGTGTCAAACAATAAAAAGGGAGAAAATAAACTCGAAGTGCATACTGATTTAAACAATGCAGGTACAGCGGGAGTGTGGTGGGTCAGTGTTTGCATGCTATCAGATCTTTAACATGCAAATAACAGCAAGAGCCCAAAATGCATTTTAACACTAGTGAAGCTTTTTGGCTTATAGGAACTACATACTCTATATGCTTGTTGTATATATACAGTAAACGGAAACTCTCTGAGGAGTCTTAATGTTTATACCAAGTAGCAGCTGCATCAAAAATCATTTAAGCTTTCTAAAAAATTTAGAGGCATTACGCTTGGGACAGACAACTGCTTTTAAAATAATCTGTAGCATCATGAGAAATATACTCCTCGAATTTCCTTCTCTTTTCTTGATCATATTCAGCAGTTATATTCTTCTATTAAGTCTATCAATGTTTGAAACAGTTACTGCCTTAAGCAAGAAGCCTAGAGTTTAAACCAAATTTTTCAAAGCTGTAGCACATAAAAGTTATTAATAATAAGGCTATGACCTTCAAGTTATCAAGATGGTATTCAAATGATCACCATCAAAATAATCTCTTAGTAACTAAATAAACCGCAAACCAAGTTTCCTGGCATAAAATCACTCATGCCAGTGCATTCATTAAGCATCAGAGTCCACGAACATTTCAGCCTTTTCAAACAAGCTCTCCTGGAGAGAGGGCACAGGCCATGTTAGTTGTTATTCCTAACCTGGCTGTGACAGGACAGAGCACGGATCTAACAGCTACTACACAAACGCGCCTTCCCACTTCTGTACACACAACACTAAAAGCTAAGATGTTAATGGTTTGTGCTGAAGATTTCTCTTTAATAAAGCTACTTATTTTTTGTTAAATGATCCACCTTCTACTCTGCATTCCAGGTACTTGTCCAACTCTGCCTCCTTCTTCACCGCTTCTGCTGACACTTTGGGTGCATTTGGAAAACAGATCAAAATCACACTCATGTTGTCTCGACTTCCCTGGGAAGAAAAAAGTTCAAGAGAATATTTTGATTTTATTTTTTCCCTCTTAAAGTTAGATATGCCATTTAAAGTTAGACTTGTTTCAGTGTTATATTTTAGTGAAGAAAAAACACATGTATGTGCCTGCTCGTCTGCATGTATATACTATGTGCGCAAGCCCAACCCCCACAGAGTATACAGATTACACCATGTAATCAATTCTCCAAAGGACAGGAGGAACATTATGGGTCAAAACTCACTATCATAATCATTTTTTATAATTCTATAAAACAAAGCTCTTTCTACACAATCAATGGCAGTTGTCCTAATTTGAACCAATATCTAACACAAATACGTATGTACACACACATTTATCCCAAACAACATGACAGAAAATTCTAGTGTTACTTAGCTATAGCAGGATTTGCAGTTATACGATTTTTTGACAAGTTTACATTTTAAAAATTTACAGTAAACTGTGGGGACAACACATTCGTCTCATATGAAGTTAAAAGTAAAATAAAATGTGGAGTTAAAAGTAAAAACTACAAAGTTTGCTTAGTTCTTCCAAAATTCAAAAACTGACAGTATGAACTGTTGTCGATCTCCTGATTTTAACATACATGTTGAATATTACATAAATCAAGTATCAATTAAGGTTTTGAGTTTATAGTGTTTATATGAAACTTACAGAATGCTTTTAATTTCCTTCATGTTAAATCAAACACAGATCTTCAAGAGAAACTTAACAAAATCAATGAGTTTTTTTTAAAAAAAAAAAAAAAGATCAATAATTACCACGGAAACAGAACAGAGTGTGGTATGAAGAACACTAAACTCTAAGTAAGAAGTCTAGATTTTCTAGTCTGGATCCTGCTACCAAATCGTATAATCCTGTTTGCTTGTATCTTATCTAGGAAAGAAAGCAGCAGATATGGAGGACTTATGCTAAATTAGACAATGTACATACATAAAAATGTAAAATGTGTGTATACACACATATATGAATTTATATACACACTAGGTCATTAATGCACGAATCCATAACAGTTATTATCTCCGTGTTAAAGCTAACGGTGGGAACCATTTGCCCAACCCTGTAGAGTCTGACTCTTTGAACCACAGAGCTTCCTCTCCTGTAAAATAAAGGGGCTAAGCTGCTTCATGTGCCCATGTGGTCCCATCTGATACAATCCTTTCAACGGTCGCTGACAACACGGGGTAGAAACATGTCTTACCCTTTTGAGAACTAAACTGATTTTCCAGAGGATTTAAACAGCTTACCTGAGTCACACAGTCTCACCCAAGTTCTTTTGACTCCATGTTCAAGGCTATTTTTTTTTTATTACATCACACCAAATATTCAATAAGTACCTTTGGTGGTGCTTCATTAAGCTAAAGTCAGAAAGTATTTCCACATATACACTGAGATACCAGATGGTACAAATGTTAAAATCCTAAAACGTTTTTTCATATGAGTGTTAACTCTCCCCATCTCCCTTCTTTTAAAACAAGCACTTTGTTATAATCTTTCTACCTTTGATAAACTTCCCACTATTAAAGCTTTAAGTAGTCATGGTTACTAAAAGACTAAAGAGTCAGATGATAACTTGCATATATGAAAATGGTCAATTCATTTCTAAAAATCATTCCTATATTTTCCCAGTAAGTGAACAGTAGTGTGCAACTGTGCCAAGACTTATTTTTGAGACCCCACAGGTTCTAAGGTGATTAAATTAATGTCACTAAAGTCGTTTGGTGCTTTTAAAAAAAAGTCTAGCTACCTTATACAAACAGGTGTCGACCACTTCATTGCAAACTTTCTCCAGGTCATCAGTAACTTCAAGTCTGGATCTCACAAACTCACAGAGCTCTTCGTTCCCCATGACATCCCATATGCCATCACACGCAAGGATGATGAACTGATCGTCCTCCTCAGACCTTTCAATATCATGGACTTCGGGCTCTGGGGAGACCAGCTGCTCCGTGGGACCTTTTCCATGGACACACTTGTAATCAAAATCCCCAAGCGCCCTCGATACAGCCAGCGAGCCGTTCACGCGCTGGATCATCACCGAGCCGCCTGCATTCTGAATTCGTTCTTTTTCCAGTGGATTACTCGGCTTGTGATCTTGTGTGAAGAAGTGAACTTTCCTGTTCCTACAAAGTAAACCTCTGGAGTCTCCACAGTTAATGAAGTATGTATGTTGGGGAGAAATTAAGACACCCACAGCTGTTGACCCACTTCTATCTGCACCATGCTTCTTCTCTGACATGACTCTCATGTGTTCATCGATCTCCAGAAAACCTGTTCTGATTCCGTTCTTTACATTCTCCACCGAGGGCGCTCCTGCAGACCCTTTAAAGTCCTGGTTATTGGTGATGTGATCTAACAAATGCTCACAGCAGTATTTGGCAACCTGAGAACCAGCATGCCCATCGTATACGGCAAAGAAGGACCACGTTTCAAGTCCACTTGGCAAGCCGATCACAGCCGTGTGTGCATCCTCCATTTCCACGCGCCAGCCTTGCATGCTGCTCAGCCCGTACCGCAGCCCGTTGCCCTGCCCCTGGGCGTTATGCTTTTCCATCTTTGGCTTGTCTAAAAATGCTCCCATTATGTCTTGATCCTCTAGCTCTGCAAAGGAAAATAAACAGGAAAGGCAATCATTGTCTTACAAACAAAATACATGCCCTACAATCTTCACAGAGCGAAGCAGATACACCAGAAATTTTAAACAAAAGTTTATAACTCTTGTGATAAACAGACACTTGTGCTGCTGACTTAAAATCTGGAGGTTAAAAAGAATAATTCAGAAAGAAAGGATGATCATGCACGGACAAGAGCCCCTGAGGCCGGGGACGGTGGGGAGCCGGCAAGACACTCCCCGAGTGGAAAGCGGACCTGGCTGTGACCATCGTCAGCTTGCAGGAGCCAGGACATGTTTCAGGATACTTGGCACAATTTCCTAGGGAGTCCCGGAACCAAGAAGTATGTCTATTCAACTCACAGGACATATAAAAATCCTGACTCAAACATCTTACTTGCATATGTAGCAATCACCAAAGTTCAGTTTCAAATTCCTTAGTCCCATTCTTCCTACATAAATTCTCTGAAAAAGTAAAAACCGATCTAACAATGCTCAGAATTTGCACACTCCACCTTTGCTCAAGTCAGTCTCCTTCACTGGAATCCTCTGGTCCATCTCTATTACAGAAAACGGTATACTCACCCTTCAAGGCCAGCTGAAAATCCACCTCTTACATGATAAAGCCAGTACGTCGTTACACTGTTAAAAATGGCCCAATCTTGATCTGTTTCTGTGAGGTTTATTTCTTTGAAAGGCACAATTACAGAAAGAGAGGGAGACAGAAACAGATCTTCCACCTGCTGGCTCTCTCCTCAGTGGCTACAATACACAGGGCTGGGCAGGCTGAAGCCGGGAGTTCCACCGGGGTCTCTCACTTGAGCAGCGAGACCCAAGCACTTGGGCCAACCTCTGCTACTTCCCCAGACTGAGAGAGCAGGGAGCCAGAACACAAGCGGAGCAGATGAGACATGCCACAGTGGTCATACGGAATGTCATCATTTGCAGCTCGTCGCTCAAACCATTGGGCCAAAGTACTGGCTTCTTAGTTTTAAGTTACAAGCAATTATACACAGAATTCCCAAAAGTTACTATATAAAAATACAACAGAATTAAGCCTTCAACTGTGTAATAGTTTAGGGAGGTGTGAAGTTGGGGCTGGTGCAGTAGCCTAGTGGCTAAAGTCCTTGTCTTGCATGTGCCAGGATCCCATATAGGTGCCAGTTTATGTCCCAGTTGTCCCACTTCCCTTTCAGCTCCCTGCTGTGGCCTGGATGGGAAGTGGAGGATGGCCCAAAGCCTTGGGACCCTGCACCCACATGGGAGACCTGGACAAGGCTCTTGGCTCCTGGCTTTGGATTGGCTCAGTTCTGGTCATTGTCACTTGGGGGAGTGAAATCAGTAGATGGAAGATCCTTCTTGTTTCTCCTCTGCAAATCTGACTTTCCAATAAACATCAATAAATCTAAAAAAAAAAAAAGGAATATGAAGTCACGGGGTCCCTCTAATCAAATGCGTCACAATAGAACTACAAAAGATCTGGAAGATAAACAGATTTGCCGGAAAGTACCTATGTGTATTAGCAGGCAGTTCTAGACTAGGAGGGATGCTACCCTCAGCAGAAACTGGGAGAGAAACAGGAAGTTGCAAACTCCCATGAAGGAAGAGTGAGCTGCCTTTGGTTTCCCAGGATCCCTCTGCACCTTCTTTCCCCTACTGGAGCCTAAACTGATACGCAGACGGCTAGCTGAGCTGCAATAAAGCAATCTGCCTACTCCCTGCCCCACCACAATCCCACCAGCAGAAGGCAGCTGCGGAAAGCGTCACTCGGGCTTCATGGATGGCTTTCCCAGATTTTTGTCTCCAATTTAATTTACATTAACATAAATGAGTATTCTGATTGGAGGAAGAATAACTAATGATACTTCATTAGCAGCCAATGTTTAAGAATTCTCATTCTAATTTTTTGCAAGCCGTATCACATAATCTTGACAACTGTTTAAAATAGTAATATGATTTCCAATTCACTGATGCAGAACCTTAGCCAGGCTTTATGGCGCAGGAGAAGACATTGGGGCTGGCATCACAGGTGGCGCCAGCCTCCCACTAGGGGCCCATGCTGACCTACTGCTCCATTCCCCATCTAGTTCCCTGTCTACAGTCTGGAAATCAATGGAGAATGACTCAAGTCCTTGGGCTCCTGCACCCACGTGCAAGATCTGGAAGAAGCTCCTGGCTCTGGCTTTGGGTCAGTTCAGCTCCCTGGCTGTTGTGGCCGTCTGGAGAGTGAACCAGTACATGAAGAGATATCTCTCTCTCTCTCTTTTTCTTTAACTCTGCATTTCAAATACAAATGAAATAAAGAGAGAAAACAGATTCAAAATTGGGTCCATTACAAGCTATATGACAGTGTAACCAGGCACTTGCTTTACAGGAGAATAGACTCCACTGCTGTGGGGAGCGAGATGTAACTAAATTCATAAGCTTAAACACATTTAGTTGACTAATAACTGCATGACTATACAACTATTGTGCATCTCTCCTTACCTGTATATGTGCATACTAATCTTATAAATTCTTATGAAGGATGAAACAATGTAAATGTATTCAATGTATACTGCCAATACATTGTAAACTCTCAATATAAATACTGTATTTGTTTCACTATTTTTCCTGCCCAGGGGAAAAGTCAGTTACTCTAATCTTTCCTCCTTGCTAACACTGGTGACTCCCTCAAACTTAAAATTTCTGCATGATACATTGTAAAATACCTTTAGGGGCCGGAACTGTGGCAAAGCGGGATAAGCAGCTGTCTGCAACACCAGCACCCCCATGTGTGCACTGGTTCAAATACCAGCTGCTCCACTTCCCATCCAGCTCCCTATTAATGAGTCTGTGAAAGCAGTGGACGATAACCCAAGTGCTTAGACCCCTGCAGACATGAGAACCTGCATGGGATTCCAGGCTCCTGACTTCAGCCTGCACAACCCTGGCCGTGGTGGTCATTTGGGAACTAAATCAGTGGATGGAAGAGTCTACTCTTTCCTTATAATTCCTTCAAATAAATAAATAAACAAAGAAAAACCCAACTATCTATGTGTCTCTGCTTTTTTATGCAGATGAAATACTCTAAGACGAGAAAGTCAGTGCATAACATATGGCAAAGGTAACAAATACTGACCTTTTGTCCCAGATGTGATTTGTACTAAGTTGAGACATATACATTTCCTGCTGAAGTCACAGTCTAAAAAGCTTGCTACCTTAAAGAAACGCTCCCCTATGTCCAAAGTGATATGCAGGACACTCAGAAAAACTCTCACACCGAACACTGCCAACTACTCCTCATCAGAAGGCAGAATGCCTAAATCATGAAATAGTATGTGGCACAACAGATTTTCTTACAACATGTATTTTCAAAAATAACAGGAAAAGGCAATATGGTGAAAAATGCAGCAAGACAATCCTGTGTACAGACTTGGTCAAGTTATAGAGCAGCTGAGAGTTCAGGCCACCCCGAGGGCACCCAGGGACAGTGTCGGTCCCTCGTCCCCAGGTCCTCTGCACAGAGCCAACAGAAAGCGCAAGCACCATACGCTCTGTTGAATTACTAGTGTAATCTCTGGGGAGAAAAAGCGAGCAGCTTCAGGAAGGGGTTCAAAATGGGGACCCCGCTTCATCTGCAACTGGTCTGTCCTGTCCTGGGCTTTACACATATCATCCGCTCCACCTTTTAGCCTTTCTTTGGCTCATGGCTTTTTTTTTTTTTTTTTTAATTCAAAAGGCAGATTAACAAACGGCAAGATCTTCTAGCTGCTGATTCACTCCCCACATGCCTACATGCCCAAGAACCTGCTCCAGGCCCAGGGACGGCCAGGAGTTTGAGCAGTTCAACTCTCACTAGCACTCCCATATGGCTCATCTAAGGGAAACAGTATTCCTCCAAAGGAGCACCAACAAAAAGCACAAAGTTTTAAAAAGTACACAGGTCTTTCCTAGATTTAAATGAAACACCTCTGCGTTTCACTCTTCCGATGGTCATCCACATACAGGTTAATCACATCTACTACTTAACAGCGGGGTGACTACCATCCACTGTTCTCAACTTTCAGAGGTGTAACTTCTTTCACCTTCACAACAAAACACAACTACTACTTTCATTCCTCTTTTATCAAGGAAGAAATGGAGCCAGAAAATCAAGTCACCTCCCAAGAGTTAATAGCAGCTGCCTCATTTCTGGATCACCATTTCCTTAACAAGGCTGGGGGGAAAGACAAGGTGCAGGAATTAGGTTTAAGACATTTAGTACCCACAAGTTAGCCTCCCTCAACTTGCTCATGAGCGCAGTGGGCGTATCAACTCATCCCTGAAGGAGCTGGAAATGGAGGAGGAAACGGTGTGGCAGATGCAGAGTAGCACACACACAGACTGCCCAAGTGATGCACTCAGCAAGTGGAGGCTGATTATTTCTACTGCTGCGACAATACAGCCACATCCAGATGTTGGCCTCTCTAATAGAAACCACTCTTTAGTAGGTCCAGTACTTATTTCCCAGATGTGCATATGAAAGTATCAAATAAATAAGACTTTTTAAAAATACATAGCAGAATGTTGAAAGGAAGGAAGGAAGCCAATACTCCAGCACAATTTTAAGTCCAGCTCCATAACAGCTGATCTTACAACTGGACTTTTCACATATCAACACTGGCACGTTGGTGATTCAAAAATCTTCCTCTTGGATTTTGAGTGATTTATAGAGCCCTGGTCAGTCAGTCAACCAATGACAAGCTACATAAATTCATCAGCTGCCTATGTAAGTATCGTATCAGGAGTTAATTTCATGATACCTATCAAGGAGATTCAATTATTATCCAATAAAAGCTGAAGTTAACTCTCTGAGAGAAATTAAGAATTTTTGCCTGAAGTCTTTATTTCTTGAGTTTATGCTGGGTCTGATAATAGTACTGGCTATTATCAGCTGATATAAACTTTTTGAAACAGAGCAGTAATACCATGGCAACCATGGGATTGAATTAAAATCTGTGATATGATCACTGAAGTCAGTGAGTATTTTATCTTTTGAAACTAAATTAAGCCCTAAATTGAAAAGTTATCGTTGGGTCAGGAAGTTACTCACTGAAGTTCAGCTATTGTCTTTATATATTTTTTTCATAATACGCACTTTCCATGATCTTCTTCCTTTAAAAAAATGATGTATTTGCTTGTTTTGAAAGAGTCACATAGAAAGAGAAGGGCAGAAACTGATCTTTCATCCACTGGCTCACTCCCCAGATGGCCACACTGGCCAGGGCTGGGCCAGGCCAAAGCAGCAGCCCAGAGTTTCATTCTGGTCTCCCTTGTGGATTTCACAGGCACACACACTTGGGCCAGCTCTCGCTGCTTCCCTAGGCTCATAAGCAGGGAGCTGGGTCACCAACAGCGATGCCAGTGTCATAGGGTGCATTACATCACAATGCCGGCCCCAGCCAGTTCTTACAAAAACTGACCTCATAATCACACAGGTCTTAAACCTGGTCATCTGACAGTAAGGCTACAGAAGATACACTTAACGAAAGATCATTACCAAATGGGCATTCCGAGGACTATGGATGCTGATAACTGCTTTGGGAGGAAAATCTGGAGTAGATCTGCACTTGTAGACAAGAAATCAAAAAGCTGAAGGGAACCCAGGGAATAAATCCCAAGGGAAGCAGCTCAGCAAAGAAAAACACAAGACACTAGTTAACAGCACAGGCAAAGCGACATTCGAGTTATTTGCAGATGGATGAGGAACGAATTCTCACTATGACCACCAAATCCCAACATGGTGATCCACAGCGCTCACTGACGCCTACACAAGTGAACCTGGTCCTCAGAGATGAAGATGGATGTCCAGCTGGCCTGTGGAATGGACATTACTGAAGGAGCCATTAGGCTATGTATTGCAAAGCTGGAACTCAACGAAGAAGCAATACTACTTGTGACCTTGTGCAGGGTAATTCAGGCTACCAAACTGTTCTCACTTCGCCAAGCTATGTGACACAGTAATTTAAAAGCAACATTTTGTAACCCAAGGCAGGTATCTCTGGTATCTAACTGGGCAAAGATATGGTAAACAGAAATAAGCACATAAACAAGATTATAGCACATCTGAGAGAGAAAAAAAAAAAGTAAACCACTACCTATTTACAGTCTGAAATTTCTCACTGATCATTGCTTTAAAAAATGACTACACAGATTTATATGTACAAATTCAATTTTGATACCTTGGTTAATCAGAACCCAAAACATACAAAGCCTTTCTCAGTTCACTTCAAAGGTGCAATGAAACAACATTTTTCCCAGGATTACAAGGCAAAGCCTAGTTTGCAGGATTTACATTCCAATTCCGCTATAGCCCTGAATCTTCCATCTCTATAACTCTGTACCGTCCATGACAGGTGATGGGGGCGGGAGGGAGTGCTGTGTGCAGGTGGGGTTAGGGAAAGCGGAAGCAAAGGAAAGAAAAGAAATACATTCTAGTACTTCTTTTTTGGTCAATGACTAAAATAAGCCATAGTGAACTAGTGATAATTTCTGGTAAGTCCCATTTGAAGTACTGAGGTAAGATAAAACATAAAAATTTGCAAAAAAAAAAAAAATTTTTAAATCTCCAGCTAAAAATGAAAAGCTGAGGCAGAGTGACAAATAGATTGGCTACTACAGAAAAACTAGCATTTCAATACATTACTTGAAGGAATTCTTTCAGAACTCATCACACCCTCGTTTCCGCTATAGGGGATTCTGTCATTGTCACCAATAAGAAACCCCTTTACTACAGTTTTGTAGATCAAACTTCAAAGGAACTTTTCATGATTTACACGTGTTTGCAGCAATCTTACACTATATTCCTCTTTTCTCCTTCCTTTTGGAGTGCAAATTTTAAAGACACTCAAGTGTCACACATGTCACCATTAAAAAAAATCTTCATGTAACCCATTCCCATTTAACAATCCACCTGTCCTTCTCTTCCCTTGTCAGCTAGCCATGCTGACTGGCCATTATACCAAATCAAGTTCCTCCCAGTCACTGAATGCAACTGACATTTCCAGCCCTGATCCAACTGACTAGATTTCATCACAACATTCACTGTTCCAATGCCCTTCCCACTGGCTAGTCAGCATACCTTACACTCCTGCCTTCCCACCCACCCCTCACTTGGCCAGGCTGGTGTCCTTTTCTGGGCTTAGCCTCATTTCCCAAAGCACCAAATGTTGGCATTCCCTAAGCCTCTTTTTGATAAGGGTGTAGGATGCCTCCTTAAACCTGCTTTGACTGGTTACTGACACCAATACCCAGGCCAAGGATATTGAAGACGCTTCTATCATCTCATCAGTCCACCAAGTGCCATGGATTATACCTCCTCAATATTCTTAGGTCGTCACTTAGATTTTGCTACCATGCCCTGATTTCCAAGTCACCGTCAGGCTCACAGAACACAAGCTCCTCTTCCGTCCCTTCACATACATGCTGGCATCCCTCCAACTGACTTTCCAAATTCTACAATATCCTATCATTCCTGTACTAAGTGTTTCAGTGGCCTTCTATTGTTCAGGGTGGGACAGAGGGATCAGAACAATTGCTTCATATGGTTCACATGATGGCCCTTCTCCAGCTTCCTCTCACTTTCTCCTGTCCTCCATCCACATTCCCACCCCAACCACAGTCTTTTCTACTACCTAGTACTTGCCATGCTTCCCTCGTTCAAATATATAAATAAATGCTACTTCTACCACCTAAAATGCTATTCTCTCATCTCTTAAATCTAATTAATTCCTATTCACTCTTCAGATATCAATTCAAACATCAGCTTTTCAGCAGCAGCTCCTTCAATTCACTGGGAAATTTCTCCTACCAACTAGAGCATACAGTTGACCATCAAATATTTGCTGAATAAATGAACAAAACACAAATGCAAATAAAAATACTGATAAGAAAGCAGAGAGTAAACACATATACTCATAAATGTGAGACCTTTTTTTTTGAAGATTTATTTATTTTTATTGGAAAAGCAGATTTACAGAGAGGAGAGATACAGAAAGATCTTCTATCTGTTGGCTCACTTCCCAAATGGCCACAGTGGCCGGAACTGAGTCTGTCCAAAGCCAGGAGCCAGGAGCCTCTTCTGCGTCTCTCATACAGATACAGGATCTCAAGGCTTTGGGCCATCCTCTGTTGCTTTCCCAGGCCATAAGCAGCAAGCTGGATCAGAAGTGGGGCAGCTGGGACATGAACAAATGCCCATGTAAGATGCCAGCACTTGCAGGCAGAGGATTAGCCACTTCAGCCATTGTGTCAGCCCATATTAACATAAAGCTTTCTAAAGCAGAAAATAAAAACAAAATTTCCAAATAACTGTACATACAAAATGTTTTTAAAGTACCCACTGGTAGTCACCCACAACTAAAGAAATATAAAGAAAAAAATAGTATAATATAAATAAAATTCTGAACAAATCATGAATAAGCATCAAAAGAAAGTATCAAACGGCTATTAATCATAACAGGTACAAAACTGAACCCTAAAAGGCAACAGAGAATAGAGTTCTATGTGTACATTTCAGGAACCCAGAATGCTGGGTGCCAAAGGAGGCAGAAGACATTTTAAGACACACAAGAGACACAAAATATATACACACACTCTATTAAAAAATATTTTTCAGTCAAGTGAACATCTATTCACTGTGTATTTGTTTTTAAAAGATTATTTGATTGGAAAAGGAAATAAAGAGACAGAAGAGATGGTCTGTCCAATGGCACACTCCCAAGTGGCCACAATGACCAGAGCTGATCCAACCCAAAGCCAGGAGCCAAAAGCCTCTTCCAGGTCTCTCATGCTGTGCAGGGTCCCAAGGCTTTGGGCCATCCTCCACTGCCCTTCCAGGCCACAAGCAGGGAGTTAAGGGAAGCGGGGCAGCAGAGACACAAACCGGCATCCATACGGGATCTTGGCGCATGCAAGGAGCCAGGCCCTATTCGTTTTAAAATCAAGTTGTTCTCTGTATGACTTTGCCATAGTTTAACTCTTTACATTACAGAAAATATTACAAGTAACTTGAGTTTCTGAAAATAACACATCTAGGAGAGCAAAATCCAAAATATAAAATAAAAAGAACTTAGACTAACATTGTCCAACTATTTACTTCATTACTAGGGAGACATTCCTTTCATGTCCTTAGAATTTGACGCATCAACAGCACAGCATGTATGGGATGTGCTGCTCCAGAGTAAATTACCTTTTCATCATAAAAGTTATACATCAATGTATTATGTGTTTTTAGCTTAATATCTAACTTTCCTCATTGATAATAGAACAAATTTTTCTTGCAAATCAACCTTGTTCTGAGAAATGTGTAAGAACTGAGGACTAAAACATCACTTTTAACTTAATTTTTAGTCTAAATTTATGCTGATGGATTCCCACTTTTAAAAACTCCTACACCAAATTCCATGATGATGGATTTTAGAAGCATCAAAAAGATCAATTTGTAAGGAAAAGAGAAGCAGCTGCAAGATGGGCCCGCAGCCGGCGCCCGACCACACATGCACTGAGTCTCTCCCCCCGTCCGGGTTCCCAGAATGACCACCACTCCCTACACCTTCCCAGCAACGAGCCAACACCACAAGATGAGGACGGTTTACTCTAAACAGCTTGCTTTTAAAAGGCTTTATTTATTTTTCTTTGAAAGGCAGATTCACAGAAAGAGAAAAACACAGAAATCTTCCATCCACTGGTCCACTCCTTGCATGGCCACAATGGCTGGAGCTGGGCCAGTATGAAGCCAAGAGTCAGGAGCCTCTTCCAGGTCTCCCACGTGATTGCAGAGGTACAAGGACTTGGACTATCCTTCACTGCTGGCAGGGCGCTGGATCAGAAGTCGAGCAGCTGGACTCGAAATGTTACCTGTACATGACGCTGGCAACGCAAGTGGAAGATCAACCTACTACGCTGCGGTGTCAGACCTTTGGACAGGATTTTTTTTTACTACAGTGATCTCACCTAAAAGTAGCAAAACCAAATACTTGACTAATGGCTCCCACAGTTACCACATCCCTATCCTGGAAACGCTACCTTGAGGGAGAGGGGGAAGCCCTGAGCAAAAATGATTAAGACTTTTCAGATGACACAGTAATCCTGGATTAGCCAGAGGCCTAAAACTGCCATCACACACGTCCTCAAGGGAGAGAGGCAGACGTGGTTAATGCAGAGCGCACAGGAAGCCAGGGCAAGACCTCCAAGTGCTGCCCCTCAGGATGGGAGCAGCGTGGCTGCTACGGCCCAGAGAGACTCCTTCCACATCTCTGGAATGAACACGCCGAGACCCAGGAACACTAATCTGGGGCTTATGTCTCCAGAACTACAGAAAAGTGTAGTAAGTCTGCACCGTTTCCCACCACCAGATGAGTGGCAACTAGTTACAGCAGTCACAGGAATGAACGTAATATTCAACAGTAGGGACCCTGTTGGAAAACTCCCAAACTGATGAAAAAGGAAGTTTTCTGCAATTTCAACAAGCAGCAAGAGAAAAATCAGGGACAAAGCTTCCTACCTAAAACAAGCTAACAGGATGAACCCTGTGTCATCACTCAGAAATGCAGACGGGGCCGGTGCTGTGCAGCAGCAGGGGTCAGCTGCTGCTACCAACACCAGCATCCCACATCGGAGGCCCAGGTCCGGTCCCAGCTGCTCTGCCTCCGACCCAGCTCCTGGGTAAGGGGCCTGGGAATTCTGGAGGGAGTACCTGTATCACTCAGCCTTTCAAACAAGTAAACAATCTCCACAAAATGGAACGTTTGAATTAAATAACCCTACCTAATTCAACTTGTCATTTTTTAGATTCCAAAAGCATGGTATGACCAAATGGTATTTGGTATCCGGAAAGGACAGCCAAGAAATATTGAAGTCACTATTTTCAGGCAAATAACAGAACAAAACTGTCAGAAACAGAATTTCTAGAACCCACACATGAAAATTCTGAAGAAATAAATTTCTAAAAAGCACACAGAGGGACCAGCACTGTGGCGAAGCGTCAAGCTGTCACCTGTGTTGACTCTCAGAGCCCAGTTCGAGTCAGGGCTAGTCCACTTCCGACCTGGGAGGGCAGCAGAGGGCCCCAGCCCTGGGCTCCTCCATGCACACAGGAGGCTCAAGGTAAGTTCCAGTCTTCTGGCTTCCACCTAGCCTAGCACCAGACACTGTGGCCATTTAGAAAACGAACCAACCAGTGGATGATCTTATTTTTCTGCTTCTAGTTCTGAAATTCTGCTTTTCAAGTAAATAATTAAATATTTTTAAAAAACAGTATTCAAGGATACGTCACACCCTCAGTTTTTGAGAAAACAAGAAAATTAAGTAATAGCTTATATATATATGTATATCCACATATATATATGAAAATTAAAGATAACTTGTTTTTAAATTAAAAAAATGAAAAGCACACCATAATGAAGTGTTACCGATGCAGGCCCAGCTGTCTGCCTGGGTTGAGTCCAGGCTCCCCGTGTCGAGCCCAGCTGCCCTCTCACGCACACTCTGGAGGCAGCAGCGTAGCTCAGGCAGTTGGATCCACACCGCTCAACTAAGAAACCCACACTGAGACCCAGCCTAGAGTCACAGGCACTTCTGGAGTGAAGCAACATATTATTCTCTCTCAACCTTCCAAATAATCAAGGAAAATTTTTAAAGTGGTTAAGATGGTACACTAAGAATTAAAAGTATTAACAGAGCTAAGAACTTGGGGGCTGAGCAGTAGCATACAGAATGCTTAACCCTCCACCTGCTGTGCTGGCCTCCCGGATGGGCACCGGCTCATGCCCTGGCTGCTCCACTTTTGATCTGGCTCCTTGCTTCTAACTGTGAAAGCACGGAGGATGCCCGAGTCCTTGGGCTCCTGCAGTCACACGGGAGAACTGAAGGAGACTCTTGGCTCCTGGCTGCAGATCGGCTCAGCCCCAGCTGCTGCAGCCATTTGGGGGTGAGCCAGCAGACGGAAGATACCACTGTCCACCTCTCCCTCTTTTTGGAAATCTGCTTTTCAAAATACATATGTATATATTTTAAAAGATAATAAACTGACATAAAGAATTACAAAATATTGTAAGTGTTATGAGGATTCATAGAAGTGAAGCTCCGCTAGCAATCAGCTGCAAGGAATGAGACTAGACAAGGCAAGTTAGTCTCCTGGAGAACACAAACAAGCGAGAGAGTGGCATTGTGGTCTTTCAGGCAGTGAAGCAATCAATGGAAGATTTTTGTTTCTTTTCTCTCTGTAAATCTGCCTAACAAAAATAAATCTTTTTTTTTATATACAAAATGGAGATATCATGGTACCAAAGCACAGTGGAGTAAGCTCACCATGACTAGCCATCAGGAAATACAAATCAAAATCCTAATGAGGTGTCACTCCACTCCAGGTAGAATGGCTATTACCAAAAACACAGGAACGCAGGAGTGCTGGCGAGGAAGCCACGAAGGATTCTCACACACCACGGGTAGGCCGATAATTAGTTCAGATATTACTGAAAACAGTATGGAGGCTCCTCAAAAATTAAAAATAAAACTGCCACATGATCCAGCAATACACCAGTAGGTATAAATCCACAAGAGATGAAACCGACACGCTAAGGAAACGTCCCCACTCAAATATTTATAGCAGCATTATTCACAATGGTTAAAACGTGGAATTAGGTTTAGTCGTCCACCAAGAAATAAAAATAATATGCTATCATAGACAAACTATTTCATCACACACAACATGTATAATAGTTAATATCCCTAAAACTGAAAAAGATATTATCTTCTGCAATAAAAAACAAATCCTTAAAAGAAACGAACAAAGAACACAAATAAGCAATTCAATAAACAAAAGGTTTCAAATAAAATCAGACTCCCTAAAACTTTCTGAAAATTTCTTAGCGCCAAATGTTTCACCTTATAGCCTAAATATTTACTTCATTTTTCAAATAAACACTAACTTGTTAACCTCCTCTAACAAATTTCACTTATAATTCTAATGCAAGTTAACTGAGAATGAATCAAATTTGCTAGAAAAGTTTAAGAAAAATTTCAAAAAACCAACTAAAATCAATAATTGCACCAACCAAAACAATTCAGATAAAGCTCACATTTCTTTTGCCCCCACATTATTTTAAAATAATTAGTCTTTACCCAGTTAAATAAAAATGTACAGCTCACAACAGACTTGGAAATTTTCCATCTCAAACTGCATGTGACACACAGCTGCACTTTCCATGTTTCCTTCATCTATGACATGATTTAAAAAAAAAAATTCTTATTTGTTTTATTTGAAAGGCAAAGACAGAGCTGGAGAAAGCCCCTGCGTGGCTGGAGTGCATGTCTCCCCAGGATGCTCAGCAGCCAGAAGTGGGACGGCAGCAGTCACCAGGACTACCGAGGCACGCCGAGCCACAGTGCAACTCCGAGCTCACACTTAGCTCTTCAACAACCTTTGCAATGCCTAGACCCGTGCTGAAATTGAACTGACACATTCCATAACAATCTTAAATTTATACAGAGGTACCTACTGTATAATTTGTTAAATTTTGTTAAGTATAGAATTGCCTAAAAAATGTCTAAGCTAAATTTAGTTGGGGTGCTCTAGTGACTACAAAAATTACTCCCTGACCTATTTTCACCAACTCTCCTGCAAGTGGAATATGAGAAAGATTTGCACAGCCTATATCCTAGCATTGACAACATCAATGTGCTTCATCGTTAACTAATTCAAATTTATCGGCCTTGCATAAGTTGTTTCAAGATTCTGACCTAGATTCAATTCCTAGCTACTATTTTTTTTTTTAACAAGACTTATTTTTGTTGAAAGATTTACAGAGAGAAGGAGAGACAGACAGAAACATCCTCTGTGCCCTGGTTCACTCCCCACGTGGCTGCGTCAGAGCTGAGTGGATCCAAAGCTTGGAGCCAGGCATGTCCTCCAGGTCTCCCACGCAGGTGCAGGGTCCCAGAGCAAGCCCTGCCCCACTGCTCTCTCGGGCCACTGTCAGGGACTAGATGGGAAGTGGAGCTGTATTTTTCAATCCATGCATACATGAGAATTTGGAGTCAGACTGACAACCCCCCCACGCACAAATAAAATGGTCATTGATTTCCTAAGTCAATCCAGAATTTTTCTTTTGTTTTAAACAAATAAAATCCCTCAGAAAAGGTATTTGTGTTTATTGATAACTTTGTGTATCAGTAAACAGTCTATTTAACATTCAGGATTATAAAAGGTTTCTTCACATACAAAATACAGGGATATACTAAGTATTTCACATATAGGAAACGCCCATGAAATGCCCATGCTAGGGGGAAATGCAGGCCTTTGACAGACTGACACAATCCAACACAGATTCACTGAATTACTGAGTTCATAAGTTGTGTTAGGGAATGCCGTGATTTTAGATGAACAGTGTTGGGAAAAGTAGAGAAGTGCTCTATGTGAAAACTCTTTGAACATATAGCTTTAAAAAAATGTATATGTGCCTGCCTTCTCTGCCTACGAGCCTTATCTCAAAATGACAGGGCCCAAAAATCAACTTTTCCACTCTGTGCCACTTCCTCACTTCAGAAAGTGTAAGCACCCTCAGATTCCCCGACACAGCACCTACCCTGGATATCTCTACTCTAGGTTTTAAGATCCGTGAGAGAAAGAGCA